TGGGTAACCGTGGCAACTGATTTTATTTTGCTTAAACCTGGCCCGGCATGTGATGCGGTTGGGAAGGAACAGCTGAGGGGAGATGGAAGTTCTCGGCGTTCAGTGCTGGGGGAGGAGGTTTGGCTCAATCCCAGCAGTAATTGTAAGAGATCTGGGTTGGAAGCATGGTACAGGCTGGGCTGGGACTGCTCTAGGACCTGGGCCTTGCTCTTGCATCCCTGTGAACAGCCTCATCGCAGCCATTCTGGGAACAGGGACCAACCTTTGTGTGACCTCCTGTCACAGCTCTGGGCCTGTCTTTGTGGCCTGCCTGCCAGCAGCACGAAGGGTTTTACAGGGTGGCTCCTGCTGAGAAAGGCAGCCTCTCGATTCTGAGCAGCTGCGTGTTTCTGCTGAGCATCCGCGGGCAGGAGCAGGCCGGGGGTGGGGGGGCCTCGGTGTCTCTGACTGCTGCTCCCCTCGGTGCTGCAGGGTCCGATTTGCTGAGTTCAGGTACCTGCGCGAGGGAGACCCGTCCCAGAGGGAGGTGGTGGTGGTTTTCTTGCCGGACGTCTGGGGCTGCATGCCGTCCCTGGAGGAGTGGGAAGCCTCGTGCCAGCCGAAGGCAGAGAAGGTGCCCTCGCCACCTCCATCGCCAGGGGACAAGGCTGCGATGGTGAGGCTGGACTTCTCCCCGGGGAAGGGGGCCTAGGGCTGTGCCCGGTGATGCTGGAGGCCTGCAGGAGCGGCTCTGGCTGTCGGCGGGCAGGGACAGGGCTTAGCCAGGGCCGTGCTAGTTCAGAAGTCCCGAGAGGTGGTTTCATTTCTGTGGGTGGTCAGACCAGGCTGTGTTTTGGAGGAGGCGAGATGCTGGTCTGGAAACCACCCTTGGGGTGGGCCTGCCGCTGTTGCAGCTCCCAGCAGCCTCTCTTTCTGCTCCCATCTAAACAGGGCGTTTCTAAGCAGGAGATGGAGGCCCCCAGCCCAGCCTCTGAGCAGGATGCTGCTGCGGACGCCACCGAACTAGCTTTGGAGCCCGCTCCCAAACCAGCGGCCCCCGAATCCGAAGCCCCTGCTGCCCCCATGGAGCCAGCTGTTGTGGCCCACCCCCACCCAGGCGGGCAGGACGGGCAGGCGGCCTGCTCCAACATCTCCCTCTACACCCTGCTGGAGTACAGGAGACGGAGAGAGAAGCTCTCCTTCGAGGTAGGCTCTGCAGGGCCAGGCCGCTCCCCTGCTCGCGTGCATGGGCTCTCTGGGAGCTGCGTGGGCAGGTCTCTCCATGCCTCTCTCCTATCCCAAGGTGGCTGTGGTGGCTGAGCTCTTCCAGGAGATGCTGCAGCGAGATTTTGGCTACAAGCTGTACAAGGCGCTGTTGGCCTTGCCAGAGAAGGAAGAGCCGCTGGAGGCCAAGAACCCGGAGCCGGAAAGGGCTCCTGAGCCTGCGAAGGAGGTGCCTCCGGAGGCTGCTGGGGCCGAGGAGGAGGCTGAGCAGGTGGGTTCCCCGCTGACCCCTCGTGGCCCAATGCCCTATCCCCTTCGCAGCCCCAGCTCTGACCATATCCCACCCCTGCTCAGCCTCCTCCCAAAGCTGAGCCTGGGAACACAGAGGCAGAGAGGCCGGCAGGCAGCGTGGCAGCCACGGCAGGCGGAGAGCAGGAGAGGACTAAAAGTGAGTGCAAAGCAGATCCCAAAGACTCTCCTGATGAACTGTGCGTGCTCAGCTTGGAGGACGGCCTGCTGCTGCTCCGGGAGGAGGAAGAGGAGGAGTTCGGTATGTTGCTGGTGCAGAGAGGAGAGCACAGCCCTTCTCCGGGGGCTGCTGGTTCAGGAGCTGAGCGCAGGGGCCTTACTCCTGACTATCCCTCAGGTACCAAGCTGGAAGATGCTGAAGTGAGATCTATTGCGTCCAACCAGTCGGAGACGGAGTTCTCCTCCCTCCATGACGTGGTGAGCATGCCATGCCCCCAGCCGCGGGAGCCTGGAGGTCCCCTTTCGCCCTCCAGCTTAGCCAAGTGCTTAAGTTACGGAGCGGATAAATGCAGCTGGCGGCTCTGGTGGCCGTCTGGCTTGTGGTACCTCTGAACGGGGATCCCAGGGGAGGAGCCTGAGTCACTGGTTCAATCCCACTCGTCCTGGGCTCTGTTTTAGTAAACCGGCAACAGCCCACATCCCGCTCTGCAATGCAGAACACGCCCTGGACATGGCGCAGAGGAGAGAAAAGTGCAAGCCGAGGCACCTGCCACCTCCCAGTGCTGTGCAGGTGCTGCAGACAGGCTGGCACTTCTGGGGATTGCAGCTTCTCCCATCACTAAGGCATGTCTGTGTTTTAGCAGCCCAAGGAGCTGGATCCGAGTGCTGTGCTACCGCTGGATGCTCTCCTAGCCTTCGTGTACTTCGATTTGAATTTCTGTGGCTACCTACACCGAAGGGACCTGGAGAAGATCCTCCTGACGCTGGGGCTGCATCTCTGCAAAGAGCAGGTGAGAGCTTGGGGGCTGCCCCTCTGATCCGAGCAGTGGTGCTGGCTCGTGGCTGTCTCGGGCCCTGACCTGTGCACGCTGTGTTGTGGTGGCAGGTGAAGTGCCTGGTGAATCGGGTCGTGACTCAGTACGTGTGCCAGTATCGAAACCTTCAGTACAGCCGGCAGGAGGGCTCGGAGCCAGGCAGCGCTGACCGCATCCCAGAGGAGGAGCTCTTTGGTAGGTGCAGGGAGGACAGGGGTATTCCTTCAGGCTCTGCCAGGGAGGGATTCTCTCTCAGACCAGGCTCAGCAGTCCCACGAATCCTGCTTCACCTGGTGTTGTTAGAGGTCTCATGGTGGGTGACTGGTTGTTCTTGTTCCAGGCAACCTTCCTCTGCTGCCTCCTGCCCGGCCCCCAGCCGAGGTCTCCCTGCCGCCTAAGGCGGGTACGGAGCAGGGAGGCCTGGTCTCCCACAACGGCGCGGTGCTCAACGTGGGGAAGCTGCTGGAGAAGGCGGAGCAGACGGAGAGCAGCCGGCTCTACCTGGAGAGCAAAATCCACGCGCTGGAGGTCAAGCTGGGTAAGCTGGTGCAAGGGGCAGGGAGGTGGGCTGGTTCCCTTTCCAGTTTGTCCGAGACATGGGTTCCCTGTCCCTGAGTTGCTTGTGCTCCTCTGGCAAAGCTGCCCTCGGCCCTGCTCTGTCCTGCATGGGCTGGTTTGCAATGGAGGGAGGGGGCCGACCAGCTTTCTGCTTACAGAGGAGAGCCAGACCCGGGTTTCGGGAATGGAGTCGACCAACAGAACGCTCACAGCCGAGCTGCGGGAGCTCCAGAGGCGCCTGGCCGAGGTGGAAGAGCAGGCAAAGGCGGCCGAGAGGCAGAAACTGCAATTCCAGCGACTCTTGCAGGAGAACAGAAAGCGCCTGGCCCCCGTACAGCTGGAGATTCAGACCATCATTGAGAAGGTGCCGGGGAGGGAGCCGTAGTTCTTGCCAGCTCTGTGGCAGTGGATGGGTGGGAGGTCGCTTAGGCTGTCCTCACTCGCTGCCTCTCTCCTCTTCTAGACTAATAACTGCTTAGAAAAGGAACCAGCCTCCTCCAACTGATGTCTGCTGCCCTTGCTGATGCAGTCTACCAGGAGGGAGTGAAGTCTGCACCCGTCTGGACTTCACGCGCTAGGGTTGTGGATCGTGGGCAAGATCCTCATGACCTTTTGCTGTCTGGACCTTCTCACTGCAGAGACAGGCTGGAGCTGGTTCCCATCCCAGGCTTGTGGAGCCAGAGGAGCCATAGGGATGCGCAGGATTTGCTCTGACCACTCATTCTCGTTTAATGGAAACCTCTTAGGTAGGAAATCTTGCAGCCTAGTGTGTACGTGTGTGTAATGGAGACAGGGCTTGGGCTGTCTTGATGCTCTATAGTTGGCCTCATGACTGGGGACAGAGACAGGCTTGTTTTAATAGGACAGAGGACCTGAATGAGACTCTCTGGGGCTGGCTCTTTCTGTGTCGCAGGCCACCCAGCAGCTCTTGGTTACGGTCTCTGTTGATGCCGCAATGCCCTTAGAGGGTTTGTTGAGTGCAGCGGGTCTCAGCTCCGCACATCACGCAAGCCATGTAACTAGCTTTCTACAGGCTGGCCAACCCGGGTGCTCCCTCGGTGGCCTTGGCTGGCCGGCCTGGGGAGCGCAGGGCGGTGCGGGAGGCCCCACCGCTGCGGCTCCCTCCGGGGGTAGGCGGGGGGGTG